GCTCAACCCAAGGCCTTTCCCTTTGCTCTCCTCTCCTCCAGGATCACATCAAATAATTTTTGAAAAGGCAAAGAGTTTGGCCAGCATGAAGCCTTTGCTGAGAAAACAGAACCCAGCAGAGCCAAGCACATGGGATTCCATGGAGTGAAGTGGTGTGCACTGGTGTCAGCAGCCATCCTGCAGCATGGAATTTCATTGTCCACAAGGAATGTCTCACTTGGCTCCTACCCTCACAGAGCCACTGTGATTAGGTCTCATTAGAAAGATTATTAACAGTCTCCAAGGACACTTTCAAAACACTGGGAAGTCTCTGCTAATTGAAACTAAATGACAGCTGTCCAACTGCATTTTCCCCTGCATTATCCCTGGGACAGGATTAGGTTTCTTTGTTCACTGCAGAATGTTTCAATATCAGTTATTTGCAGCAAGGTCTCTGCCCTGTGGCACCTGCCTGGGGGGGACAGAGCTCTGGTGCTCCTGCAGCCCATTCCCAACATTCCAGCTGGCTCCAGGCCCAGCTCCCAGATGGGGCAGACTGAGACAGGGGAAGGATTCTCTGTGCTCAGGCCAGAGCAGGGAGCTGAATTTGGGAGTTTCTGCCTGAGAAGCAGCAAAAACACCTACCCCAGGTGCCAACAGCATTGTCCACACCCGATGGATTGCCATGGATCACCTGCTCCCCTCGGAAGGCCCAGCTGTTAATCAGGGTCAGCTCTTCTTCTGTCCACCTGGAAGGCAAGGAAATAACTCCAAGCAAACCACTCCAAACCAGTGGAGAGGGAGGGATCAGGCTCAGGGGGAAGATCCCAGCTTTGGCCTGGTGTAGATCAGATTTAGTCTGGAATTCAAGTCCAGACTCATCCCCACCTCACCACACAGGGAGTGTTAGCACACACACTGTGGAAAGGCTGAGGGAGCTGGGATTGTTCAGGAGAGGAGAAGCTTTGGGGTCACCTCATTCCAGTGCCTGAAGGAGCTACAAGAAAGATGGACAGAGACTATTCACAAGGACCTGGAATGACAGGACAAGGGGAAATGGCTTTAAGTCGACAGAGATTGACAGGTTTAGATTGGATACCAGGAAAAAATTCTTCCCTGTGAGGGTGGTGAGGCCCTGGTGGGCAGGGACACCTTTCACTGTCCCAGGTTGCTCCAAGCCCCATCCAACCTGGCCTTGGGCACTTCCAGGGATGGGACAGCCACAGCTTTTCTGGACAGCCTGTGCCAGGGCCTCACCATCCTCACAAGGAGGAATTCCCAGTTTCCCATCTAATCCTGCTCTCAGTCTGAGCACAAAACCACACCTCTGACCCTCCCTGCACACCACAAGTCCATTCAACAGGTATTCCATGCTGGGGCAGAGGCATAAATCCAGATTTTGAGAAAGCCTCACAGTGTTTTACAAGGCAAGGCAGAAATTCCAAGAGCCACCTGCTATCCAGAAACTCTTCCCCTTCACTCCTGCTTCCCTGGGCCTTGGCTGAATGTCCTTATCCATGTCCACACACCTTGCATTCCACCTGCCAGGATTTAATCTGGGAGCACTCAGCAAACAGCTCACAGCAGCAGCCTCAGGAACAGGAGTAAACCACTTGTTCCTAATCCTCTTTGAGAGGCTGCAATTCCTCCCGACACAGGAGCCTTTCTATCCTGCTGTTCTTTTCTTGCCATTGGAAGCAAAACCCTTCTGAAGTCTGACACCCCCAGCTCTCTGCACAGCAGCTGGAAGGCAGGAATTATGCTGGATCCATGCTGAAGCCACGGAGGGTGAGCAGGGAATGAAGACATCCTTGCTGTAACACTTGGAGCTGCCTTTTTATCTCCCAAATTTGGGAGATTTGCTCAAGTGCTCCCAACAAGAACCTGTTTCTGGGTCAGAACACAGAACCACCCTCCTTGCTGTCTCACTCTCAGCCCCACACAACAGAGGTTCTGCCCCTCCAGCTTTGATTTTGAACAGCTTCAAACGGAGCTCCCTCTCACAGGGGCACAGCACTCCAAGCTTCCAAAGGGGAGCTCCAAGGGCAGCAGGAAAGAAACTCTCTTTCATCAGGTACTGACAGAAGGGAAAGAGAGGCAGGAGATCAGGGTAGCACATGCAGAAAAGAATCCATGGGAAATGCTAAAGAAACCCAGAAAGGATCCTCGAGGACTCAAAGCAAAACCTGGAAGATGTTCAGAGCCAGAGGAAACTGAGGTTGAAAAATTTCAGTGTGCTTTATTAGACTGAAAAAATAAGGCTTTTCCCCCCCTTTTTAGGTATGTTTTTCTGACCCTAAACAAGAGAAACAGGGGGAGATTTACAAAGTCTGTCACTTGTGGTGACAGCCAAGACAGACCAGCAGAGGTGGCAGTGCCAGAACCCGTGCAGGCAAAAGGAAAGGTGGGGCACAAAGCTGTGCATGCCAGGCTGGAACTCCTTACCTGGCTGTGGATTCTCCCTCCTGCAGCGGGCAGGAGATGGCTCCACACAGCATGAGCAGGGCTGCAGCCAGGCACACAGCATAGGCAGCACTGGATCCCAGCCCTGCTCCCGTGGGCAGCTCCGAGCACACCACGATATCCACGCTGGGAACATCCCTGGGAAACAGACACACACACAGGGACTGGCACAGGGACTCTGAATTCCACCCCCAGACACAGGGACTGGCACCAGCACCCTGAATTCCACCCCCAGACAACATCAAAAAGGCAAAGAAGCCAGTCAGGATTGATCACAGGGAAAGGTGGGTGAGAACTGGCAAATCAGCACAGGCATCTGACACACTGGGGCTGCAGGAGGGATCACTCCTGAATGGAGCAGCCTGGGCAAGCACTTGTGATGGAATAAAGCCCTCCTGAGCTGGATCCATGATTGGCACAGCTTGTCAGGCTGCTAGAAGGGGCTCTTGGTAAGTAAATACCTGAGCAGCAGCATAAAGAGCCCCTTCAGAGGTTGTTGTAAATATATTTCTGAATAAAATGTAAATATCCCAAATCTGTAATTGCACAGCCACATCCCTCTGGAGCAAGAGGCTGGTGGGGAAGATGGAACATGGACACATCCACATCCCTCTGCTCCACTGAACACACCTGGGTTGTGTTACAGACCCCAAAATCAAGCCCAGGAGCTTTCTAGGGCTGCTGACAGCCACAGTGCCACCCTGAGACTGGAGGGAAACCACAACCAGCTGCACATCCCAGCTCTTTATCCTTGGATTTCTTGGATGAGAAGATAGAAGTTGGGCTCTGCTTTGGTTTCTGGCACTGCCCTGAGCACCCATCCAGTCACACAGAGATCACTGATGGTGCTGGGCAAGGCTGGGAACTCGAACAGCCCCACATTTTCAGTTTTAGGCAGATTCAGCCCATAAAGAGATCAGACTTAGTTCAGACAATAAATTCACAGTTGATTTCTGTTTTGCCAGCCTAAGCCAGGATGACAGGAGCTGCCTGCTGGAGGGAAGAGTGTCTGTGTTGTGACTGTGGCATGAACTGCTCTGCTTTCAGCCCTCAGAACTAAGTGAGAGCTGATACTCCCAGCTCACCTGCCTGAAGCACCCACCCAGCACCAAAATTTTGGGGCAGGAGCAGAGCCTTACCCATACTTAGCAGAAATAGCCAGGCACATATACAGGAAGGCAAGAGTGGCAAGACTGTCTGGAGCTGAGGCCCCAGCAGCAATTCCAGCAAACTCCCTCAGTGCATCCAGCTGTTCTACACTGGGAGACTTGGACTCATCACCATCAGCTATGGAAGCAAGCAGGGGAGAGTTTAAACACTTAAAAACCAGGGAATTGTTACACTGAGAGCAGTATTTATAACAAAACCTTCTGTTATAGCAGGCAGAAACAGCTGGGGCCAATTTCAGGTTCTACCTGAGGATCTTCCATGAAATAAAAGAAAAATCTCCACTGGGCACTCTGAAATCCCAGGGTTTCCATACTCCATATTTCCAAATGTCTCCCTGCCTACACCTGCCACTGCATCCAGCCATAACCACTATAGAAAACATGGCAAGTCACAAACTCTTCATTAAAGGACGTGGATTTTGGAACTGGGATATCCTGGGGCTCCAGCCAGTGCAAGGTGCTGCAGAAATTCCTGTGAGGGCTGGTGTGGGACAGACGGGCAGGAAAACAGATCCAGGCTGGCTGGAGCCACAACAGCACCAGAACAAGTCCCTGGAACCCAAACCAGGAGGGGACAGGGCCACGCACGGACACCTGAGCATCAGCGGGGCCACAAGGGGAATGTAAATAATTGAGAGGGGCAGGGACAGGTCAGGGAGCGGGGTCAGAGACAGCAAGGCGTCGAAACACTGCAGGGGGACAAAAAACCCCACGGGGGTCCCTGCAGAGTCACCTCATGGGGGTCCCTGCAGAGCCACCCCATGGAGGGGGTCCCAGCACGGTCACCGGGGTGTGACAGGCACCGAACGGTCCCGAGAGCCCCTCAGTGCCCCCGGGGCAGCTCCTCCTTCCTTCCCCCGGCTCTTGCCTGCGATCCGCTCCCGCAGGGCCCGGAGGTCGGGGGTGTCCCAGCTCCTCCGGACGCCGACGCTGGGCAGGGAGACGCTCAGCCGGCCCTCAGCGCCGGGCCGCAGGCGGAGAAACGTCCGCAGGTCCAGCGCCACGGCCAGGGCCACCTGCGGGCGGAGAGCAGGGGTCAGCGGGGCCGGGCAGCCCCGGTTACCGAACCGGGCAGCCCTGGTTTCCCCGCCGTGCCCTCACCTTGCCCAGCACCACGGCGTGCTCCCCGTGCAGGATCACCTTGCCCGGCGCCGACACCGCCAGCTCCCGCGTCCACATCGCTTCACGGCCGGCGCCGACTGACAGCCCCACACACCAATCGGGGCCGCGCCCTGCCCCGCCTCCCTGCGCTCAGCCAATAGCCGGGCGCCGTACGAGGGCGGGACTTTGCGGGCGGCCAATGGGAAGGGGGCATTGAGGGGTGGCGCGGCGCTGGGGTGACAGCGTGGGCTGAGGGCGGGACGGCGGCGGGGACGGCGGCCGGCAGGGATGTGGCGGCGAGCGGCGGTGGCGGCGGGACGGGGCTTGCCGGGGATGGCGGGGCGGCGGTGGCGGAGCTGGGCAGGCAGGTGAGCGTGGGAAGGCCGGGACCCCCTCACGGTGTCGTTCCGTCCCTCACGGTGTCGTTCCGTCCCTCACGGTGTGTGCCCCCCTCACGGTGTCCCCTCACGGTTTGTGCCTCCACAGCCCCGAGCGCGCCGCTGCCGAGCGGGCCCCGAGGATCTACACGAGAACGGGAGACTCAGGTAGAGCCCGGGGGGCCCCGGGGGCCGCGGGCAGAGCTCCCCGGGCGGGCCCTGAGCGCCTCCCGCCCTTCCCAAAGGATTCTCCAGCACCTTCACCGGGGAGCGGCGGCCCAAGGGCGACCGGATCTTCGAGGCCCTCGGAGCCACGGATGAGCTGAGCTCGGCCATAGGGTAAGGACCGGCTGGGAGTATCCAAATCACATGGAGAAAAGCATGTTTGTTGTGATCTCTTCATTCCCAGCTAACTCTGTTTTGTTTTTTTTCTCTCTACCCAAGGCTGGCTGGTGAGTTTAGCAGTGAAAAGGGTCACACATTTGTTGATCAACTTCATAAAGTGAGTATTAATGATAATCTTCATTCCAGTGCTATTAAAACATGGACTCCTTAATTTTAGCCACAGTGCTCCCACTGACACACAGGAATTCAATACATTTAGTATTTCAATGTATAAATCTTTAAGACTCCCTTGATTGCTCTCTAAGAGGCAAATTTCTTTAACCAAGAAGGAGGCTGGTAGATCAAATTATTAGTTATGGGCAGACAGATTCATGTCTACATTTAATCTAAGTCAGATTCACATTATGACCATGAGTTTTGTTGTAACAAAACTCCAGGTTTGAAACTGGGACACAAACAACCACAAGGGCACAGCAGTGACCCAGGTCCTGCCTGGGCAGCCTGTGAGTTTGGCTGATCAGCTCTGCTGAGCACAGGAATGCCAAAAGCCATGGCTGGCAGTGACAGCAGTTGTGGTTTCTGTCCAGGTGCAGTGCATGCTGCAGGATGTGGGCTCCAACATTGCCACGCCACTCTCCTCAGCCAGGGAGGCTCACCGCAGTAAGTCCTGCCTTTCCTGGGGTGGCAGGGCTTGGGCACAGCCTGGTGTGAGTGCTGGGATGCTGAGTATTTGGTTTCTTATGGCTTGCTGATCCAAGAAAGCAAAATGAGAGCTCAGCTTGTTGTCTGAATCACTTTTTTCCAGCCAGTTCTTCTCTCCCCTCTGTAGAACGAACATCATTCAGCGAGAAGCCCATCCTGGAGCTGGAGCAGTGGATTGACAGCTACTCAGAGCAGCTGCCTCCCCTCAGAGCCTTCATCCTGCCTGTAGGTGCTGCCTGTGCCCCTCATTTCCTTGGGGTAGCCCTGCTGTCCTGCCTGGGAGGCTGCTATTCCCATGGGCAAACAGCAAGGGAAAAGCAGAGCCAAGGAGCTGGGAGTTACATCTGCCCACCCTGCTGTCCCTGCCTTGCCTGGCGTGGCACAGGGCTCAGTTCCATGTGTGAGGGAGGGCAGGGGGGCTGTCCCTGCTGGGGCAGACCCTCAGTGGTGTTTCCTTGCTGTTCCAGTCTGGAGGCAGGAGCAGTGCTGCTCTCCACTTGTCCCGAGCCGTGTGCCGCAGGGCTGAGCGGTGGTGAGTGCTGTGCTGGGGTCACCCTGAGGAAATGGGCATGGGGACACCCCAGTGACAGCAAACCAGGGCTGGGCTGGGGTTCCAGCCAGGCTTTTGTGTGTTTAGTTCAATTCCAGGAGTGCAGGAGGCACAAAGCTGGGCTCTGTTCTTCCTTATCCAACCTAAACCTTTGGGGATTCTGCAGCCCCATCCAGCCTGACCTTGGATGCTACCAAGGATGGGGCAGCCAGAGCTTCCCTGTGCCAGGGCCTCACCAGCCTCACAGGGGAAGAATTTCTTCCCAATATCCCATCTAACCCTGCCTCTGGCAGTGGGAAGCCAGTCCCTGTGTCCTGTCACTCCGGCAGTGGGCAGAGCAGGGGGCTTCCAGGACAAACACAAACATTTCTGGCATCATTCACCCCTCCCAGATCCCCCTGGGAAGCAAAGATCCCTCACTTCTGCAGGAGTCAAAGTGGGGACTCCATGGGGACATTTGGGTTGGGAAGGGGCTCCAGTTTTTGGGCACTCAGAGCTGGAAAATCAAACACCAGCATTTCCCTTTGCTTTTTCCAGTGTGGTCCCTTTAGTGCAAGCAGGGGAAGCAGATCCAAACGTGGCCAAGTATTTAAACAGGTAAAAAAAATAAAACCCCAAACCATTCCCCTGTCCTAGTGAAGCATTCTCTTAGTTCTGGGAATAAAACTGGGGGGTTTTGCTTCTCAACAAGCTTCTCTTCTGGAATAAAATCACTGGTTTTCCTGCTTTTCCCCTGTTTTCCAGGCTCAGTGATTATCTCTTTGTCCTGGCACGTTATGCTGCAATGAAGGAAGGGAAGGAAGAGAAAATCTACATAAAACCTGAGCCCTAGCTGGGAGCTGGAATGTTTTGTCCTTGATCATGGAAAACTAAATCCAGCTGACTGCTTTTGTCCATCAAGGAAGGGAGAGAGAACAGGCCTGGACTGGAAATGGGAGCTGCCAAGGATTTCCATGTGAAATAACCAGGACCTTGTTGATAAATCCTGAGAGGAAGAGAATTACAGAATATCCTGAGTTGGAAGGGACCCAGACACACCTGTCCTGTTCCCTGGGCCTGGCCCACACATCCCATGTGGGGATGGCTCTGGAGCCACTGCTTCTCCCAGCTGGGAGTTGAGGCAGGAGAATTCCATAACATTTTGGAGATGCCTTCATTTCCCTGGGCAGCAGCAGGTGCTGTGGGAAGGCTCTGACAGGACTCTGAGGGATGATGAAGGGAAAACAATCAGGAAAACAATCAGGAAAACAATCAGCTCCTCCTCTGAAGTCACAGTGCTCGTATGGAGCAGCAGCTGGAGGCCTTTGGGAATTGTGTCCACAGCTCTGAAATAATAAATGTGAATTTCCTTGTACCAAAGGGCCACAAACTGTCACGTTTTAACAGCGAGCCCTGTGAGCTTTGCTGCTCCAAGTCCCTTCCAATCCATCAGCTCTGGCTGGAGCTGAGCTGTACAGATTTACAGGAATGCACCAAGAATTCCTTGGCTTTGCTGCCTCTCGTTGTGCATGTGAGGAATTCTCTGAGCTGACAATCCAGGGCATCCTCTGCCAGGCACAGCATGGAGGGGGTGAAGCAGGAAAGGCCAAATCCCAGGGTCTGTGCTGGGGGTGTCTCCATGGGGAGCTGTCCCTTGGAATGGTGGGACCAGCTGCAGGAACAGCTGGGGGAGCAGAGCCCAGGGTTTGGGAGCACTGAGGGTGCAGGAAAAGGGGTTGGGGTGAGGAGCAGGGCCCTGCTGGAGCTGGGTGAGGGGGCAGCACCCCAAGGGCTCCTGGAGTGTTTCTGCATGGAACCCTCGGCAGAGCAGGCTGGAGAGAGCTCACAGCCACATCACACAATTGCAGCTTTTCACTCATGTCCAAGCTGCTTCCAGCTTGGAAATACAACTGGGAGGAACCCATGTGAACCCTGCTGGTGACATTTCCCCCCTGCGAATGCTGTGGGCTGCAAGGTGGTGATGCTCACCTAGAGCTTGTCCTGCTTTTAGTGGGGCAGCTTTTAAATCCATCCTGCCCCTTTTCCCATTCAATTATTTGAGTAGAAGCAACTTTAAACTTGTTTTCCAAGGAATCTCTGGCTCTGTGTCCCTTTCTGGGCAGTGAGGAATGCCCAGGAATGAGTGAGGAGTGCCCAGCACTAACAGATCCCCTGTCTCATCACTCACCTGGGTTTGAGGCAGATATTTCATGGCTCTTGTTAATGCACATTTTTCATGGAGTAATTTTCCAAGCCTCAGCCTGGAACACATCCCAGTGACAAATGCTCTGGATTTGGATGGTCCCATCAGCTGCAGTGTCACCTCAGCCATTCCCTCTGCCTGCTCCTGCCAGTTTTACGAGAGCTCTGGCTCTGGGACTGAACCTCAGGAATCAAGAGGCTTTTCAAGTTTAATTTAATAAAATCCTTTGCAATATAAATTCCTCATGAACACTCCATAAATCAGCTTGGGGAGGGATTTATAGTATTTCCTTTTTTTTTTTTCTTTCCAGCTGGGGGGAAGAAATCTCACTACTGTTTTGGGACCAAAGCTGGCATTGTTTGGATTACAAGGAGAAATAAATCGAGCTGCTACACTTAAAATGATGGAGAGATTAAATTTACTGGGGTGCTCCCAGCTGCCCCCTCCCTCTCCACCCACAGCAGTTGTTCTGGAGGGCTGAGGCAGAGGGAGGTGCTGGGATGACCTTAGTGTCACTAAGCAGGGCTTGGCTTTAGGAGGGAGTGGAGACAAGGATGGGACATTCTGCTCTGAGAGTTGTCCCCAAGGCCACAGGACAGCCATGGGCTCTTGAGATGGGGGTGGCTCAGGTGGGACCTTGTGGCTCTGCACAGCTCCTGACAGGAGGGGACAGGGAACAGGGACAGGAGAGAGGAAACTGCATCAAACTGTGCCAGGGGAGGCTCAGGTTGGACACCAGGAGGAATTTCCTCATGGAAAGGGTGCTCAGGGACTGGAAGGGGCTGCCCAGGGAGGTTTGGAGTCCAAGGAATTCCTGGATGTGGCACTCAGTGCTCTGGGCTGGTGACAAGCTTGGGCTTGAGGATCTTGGTTTTTCTAACCTGAATGATCCTGGAATTCTGTGATCCCTCAGGCTCTGGTGCACCCTCCTCACCAAGCTGGAGCAGAGGCACAGAGCAGCTGAGCTGCCCCTGCTCCCGACCCCACAAGGCAGCAGCAGAGTGACCAAAACAAAACCCAGCCTCTAAATCCAAATAAACCTCCCTTGCTCTGGGCTGGCAGTTGTTTTTCCAAGCTCTTTGTCTCTTCCCAGCCCTCCCAGCCATACAGCATAGGGATTCCAGTGCCTGCACCTCATTAATATCACGGGGGAAGGCAGATGCTTTGTCCAGGCTGCCCAGCTCCAGCGCCCAGCAACATTCCTGCCTCGCAGGGTGCCTGATCTGGGACTGCTCTGGAGCTGCCAGCACAGCCATATGTTGCTAAGGGTCGTTTATTCTTGTTTGTAAAATGTATGGCTGCTCCCAGCTTCCACACTGTCAAAACGAGAAGAACTGGCCCCAAAATCTCTTGCTGCATGATTGGATCAGACGCCCGTACATCTGTTAGCGCTGCAGGAGCTGTAAAATGGAATAAGTTGGGCTATAACTCAAGCACCTCGATTACCACCACGATGTGGGAGCAGCAGAACGGCTGCTGCTCCGCCAGCAACGCCACAAACATCCATTGTGCCAAGTCAGATGTGAATTTACACAAGGCAGCATTTCCTGGGCCAGGGCTCTCAGAAGGGAGGAGAGGGATGAGAGCTCCCACCTTGTCAGGGTGTGCTGGAGCCCCAGCCTGGTGAGTTTTGGGGTGCACAGCCCTGGTAGTGGGGAGCCAACAGCTCCACTGGAGCTGCAGGAGCAGAGAGAACCACAGGGCAAGTCCTGTGGGCTCACGAGCTCCTGAAATTCCCTTTTAGCCTGGAAATGGGCAAGGAAAATCCCTCCCTGGAGCAGCCCAGGGGCAGGAACCATCAGCTCTGTGCCTGACAGGAGCAATTGAGTTTGTCTGTGGAGGAAGGGGTGTCTGGGACCCTCAGCTCCCCCTGTGCTGCAGCCTGGCACAAAGTGCCCACCCCAGTGCCCACCTCACCCCAGTGCCCCGTCCCTGCCTTGGCAGGGCAGGCACAGAGGGGCAGAGCAACACAGGGAGGGCTCAAACCACCCAAGGAAACTGGAGAGGGTCAGGATTGAAGAACTTGACCTCAGAAACAGCCACAAAAGCAGCTTGTGAGCACCAGTTCAGTGCCACTTCCCCAGGTGGTGACAGTGCCAAGTGCCATGTGGTGTGACCAGTCCAGCACCTGCTGCAGGAGCTGCTGCACCTCTTGGCAAATGGGAGCAAACACAAAAATGAGCTGCAGAGACATCAGGGATGTGGAGACCAGAGCACAGCACAGCTTCCTCTCCATCCTAACCTGGAATCCAGCATGGGGCACAGGTGCAGAACAGAGGGAACACCAGCCTGGGTGTGAGCCAGGGGATGGGGGCAGCCTGTAGGAGCAGGAGAGGGACAGCAGGAGCTGCTGTTTGCTCCTGAACACCCCGTGCCTGCAGCAGGCTGGGACACCCAGCTCTGCTCTGTGCCAGCACTGAGCGAGCACCAGGCTCCAGGGATCTGTCCCATCCTCTGGGGATCCCTCCCATCCCCCAGGGATCTCTCCCCTCCTCCAGGGACCTCTCCCATCCTCCAGGGACCCCTCTCATCCTCCAGGGATCTCTCCCAGCCTCCAGGGATCCCTCCCAGCTCCTCACCCAACAGTTCCCAGGTTTATGGGGTGGCCACAGCCCCATCTCCCCTCGGTGGCCCCGAGCGATGCGTGCCCAGGTCCCGGCCGATGCCAGGGAAGCTGGGGCTGTGCAGGCCTGGCTGCTGCCAGCTCTGCCTTGGCAGCAGCTGCTCTGGGCTTGCTTTTTGCTGTTCCTGACAGTGCCAGATGCCTCTGTGTCAAAACAATGGCACTTGCACACTGACTGGGAGCCTCTCCCTCGCTCCCACCGTGCTCCCGCTCCCGGCAGAGCCAGGGAGGGCTGGGAATGGCCAGGGGGGCAGGAGGGCTCCAGGCAGGGATGGAGGGGCACTGAAGGGCTCCAAAGCCAAAGTCAGAGGGAGCTGGAGCAGCAGGCACAGCTCTCACTCCTCCAAAGAGCTTCCAGCATCAGGCTCAGGCAGAAACAATATTATGATATTGTTATTAATACCAAAGCAGTTGAGCTCCAGTGGCTGCTCCTTGGGGCTCCCCCACTCCTGCACTGGGATCCCAGGTTGCTCTAAGCTCTGTCCAACCTGGCCTTGGACACTTCCAGGGATGCAGGGGCAGCCACAGCTTCTCTGGGCACCTTTCTCCTCACCCTTAGAATAAAGGCAGGTGCCCTCTGAGAGGTGCCAGGGCCCCAATGCCCTGCTCTGCTCTGCCAGGAATATCCCACCAGCACATTCCCTGCCCTAGGAAAGGACCAGGAGACACCCAACCACCTGAACTCATCCCAGCTTTATTTTCTCTGCAGCTCAGACACACAGGGATGGAACCAAGGCCTCCACAACAGCAACTCTTGGATAGAAAAGATCCTTGTGAATCTCCTGTGGCAAAACCATCCCTGGGCAGGATCCACAGAGCAGGCAGGGACTGACACAGCCTCCCTGGGACACAGGAAACAGCCCCTCCACAGCAATCCTTGCCAGCATCCTGCACTGGGAATTCCCCAGACATTTCTCACATTTTCCACACCAGCTCCAGCACGGGAGCAGTGTCTGTAGTGCAACATCTCCAGGTTTGGAGGGACCAAGCTAAGTCTGCAGTAAGATTATTTTTTTTTCTAGGAATTGTACTCCTGAGGAACAAAGGGAAAAGGGGAGCAAGGGTTTGATCTCAGTGTTCAACAGCTCATTTCACTGAATACTCATTGTGCTCTAGTCAGACACCCTGCACTTCCTAGAAGGAAAAAGGAGATTTTGGGGTGATATTTAAACTCTGAGAGGTCCAAGGCAGTGCCTAAACCTCCCAACTACACAGTCACCAACTGGTTAATGCCAAAATGTTCTATGTATTAAAAAAAAAAAAAAAAAAGAAATTTACTATCATCTTTAATTTCTGTGACTCACAGCCCAGTGTCCTGAACCCTCTGGATGCAGACATTCCTGTCTGCACCAACACTTCCCATCACTCCTGTTTCATCTCACTGATTTGACAGAGAAGGATCCTGACATTGCTTTCCAGATGCATTTCCAGGCATTGGCTCTAAAAAAAGGGTTATTTCTCTGAAATCCATCTGAAGCACGACAGGAGGAGGATGAAGCCAAGGCCATCTCGCTGCTCGGTGCAGAGGGTTTCCCGACCCCTTGGAAAGAAATC